AATACATCTTTGCAGCATTAAATTATTGATCTGAAAATCATGATTTAAAGATTTAAATCGTGAGGAATTCCATTGCAGGTTCATTTAAAACTTACACACAAAATTTATATACATTGCTGATCATCAGTATTAAGACGTGCGTTTATAAAAAGCATTTATCTCCAACTTGTCTGCCAAAACGTCCGCTAGGCGGCGGCGTTCAGAAATATCAAAGGATATGACAATATATCCCCATCTTTGTTTTTTTGACATAAAATGTAGTAGAAAAAACAGCAAGACATCTCTCCCAGGGGAGATTTATTAACCTGGTATGTCGTCTTAATTTCAGTCAGTTACACATCGCATCACACATAGACGCTCTCTCTCGCACACACGCTTCTAAGAGAAAAGTCTATTATCTTATAGTGAGTTTCACTCTGTACAAGGCCTGGTAGCCACTCGAGGTAGAGGATTACAGAGTTATAGGTAGAGTTTATGCGGATATGTGGTACAATAACGATTAATTAGGATTGTAATGATCGGTAAAACATCTTCTTGTGAGTCGTATCCACATAGCGGTTGTTTGCGGCAAGAAGCTGCTTGCATTTATTTCTCACCAATAGAATACGGAGAAGACTAGAGTGGGTCGCTACAACGTGCGTAACATGGCGGGTCCACAGATTCGAACGGATGGAACTAACGAATGTAGTTTGTCTCAGTACTTTTCATGGAAGTGCGACAGCGCAGCCAGACACTTGCTGCATCTCTTCTGTGAGAGGGGGATTACAAGGTGGAAAATAATTTATCACCAACAAGGACGCAGAGACGAGAGTGTAAAGTATGCACTAGTTAGCTCCTTCCCAAATATATTTCAGGTCTGATCTGGCTCTTGTAAAGGTAGCAGACGACACGAGAAGTCAGGTACAAGGAATCACCAATCATTTTTCCTATATCCTTACCGATTACTCTGGTTTTAAAATTTACTCTTTTTCTTATCGTTTACTGAATGTCACGTCAATGCAAGAGAACCCGCACAGAAATGTTACTTAACCCATAGCTATTTCAATAGTATCTCTGGAAAAGTGAGCGCTTATTTCTGAATCGATAGGACTAACCGGACATTTTTATGCCTTAAATGTTAGATAAATAAAATCCGTTTTTCGAATGTTATTCTTTAAGGAAGGCATGGTTTTCAATTTCAAAAACTGTCGTGGAACAGTTTTTACAGATACGATTTTTCCTCAATGGCTTTGTGTTGTATAAATTTATCTGTCTGTGCATTTATCTAAAGCAGTTGAGATCGACTATATATATATATATAAAAACACACACACACACACACACACACACACATATATATATATATATATATATATATATATATATATATATATATATATATATAATGTGTGTATATATTGTCGATCTCCAGTTAATATAATGATGATTGGATTTTCAACGCAACTACTACTTTAGAAGAATGGCCATTTCATTCTTTATGATGCTCATGTACAAATATCTTTACTAAGATTATCAAAATTCATTATAGCGTCTTATGTAGAAATACCTTAACAAATATAACAAATTTATTAGCGAATGTTGATGAAAAGAATAGTTTAATTATAAAACATAGATATAAGACATAAAATATCGTCATTCCTTTGACGATCCAAATGTTAAATAGTTTTGTTATGCCTGTGTGTGTGTGTGTGTAGAAAGAGTCGCCCTTCATTTGTGTCTGTGTTGTTTTGAAGATGCAAGATAACGGTTACGTTGAAAGCCTATATTATATAGTTTATAATACCCAGAAATTCATACACAGATATCTTCAAGGACACATGGCACAGTTCATAAAGGAGTTGGTTAGATCCACTGACAGGACCCAAAGTGTGTGAGTTCAGTACTTGGTTAAGGTGGTGGAGAACTTGGACAGGGGAATTAACAGGAGATAACTGATAAGTGACATCCATTAAAACATGGCACGTGGAATTAGAACAGTCTACCCCAGTAATCGAAATGAAGGGTTCAGTTCGATATTCCAACCATCTGAAGGAGGCCGGAACGTACAATGGCCGAAACGTTGTGATAAATATGGCAACAAAGATGAGGACGATAGTCCGAGCAATGTAAATAGTGTATAAAACATAGACATTCCTTTGACGATCTAAATATAAAATAGTTTTTTGTTATACCTGTGTGTGTGTGTCTGTGTGTGTGTGTTGAAAGAGTTTCCCTTTTGTGTCTGCGCAGTTTTCAATACGCGAGAGTACGTTTACATTTAAAGCGTATATGTGTATATATCAACGTTAGTAGTCTTAGTAGAGAAATAGGTATAAATATGCGATAAGTTATGTAGGTATTTTAAAAAATAAGATATAAAAGGGAATAAAATATTAGTAAGAATTGTATTACTCAGAGTTGAACAATTATTAAAATGAATAATCGGTTATTTGCGAAAGGTACGAAAATTCAATCCAAGAGCAGATAACTCAGATTAATTATCGAAATTTATAAGAAAAAATAATAGGCTCACAATTGAGCCTAAAATTTAAAACTTATTTCACTAATTTACAACTAGCTAAAATTAATGTTTAGTTAATTTCTATTTCATAATTTGAAAAGATATTAAGCTTTTGTTTTGATGACTCCATTTTTTCTAATGACAGTGATACAAACGTAGCTCTCATTGGTCAAAAATGGAAAACTGACAATTCAAATTCCTCTGGAGCCTTTTTTTGAAAAAGAAAAGACAACTTTATTTCTTGCATTATTTATAAGCAGACTATTGTCTTCTCTTATGGAAAGAGAATTGTTCTACGGTATTAAAGCGTCGGTTCGTGAATTTCATGACGTTGTAATTGCGAGTTTAATTCCTGAACTGTGCAGGGTGACTTAGTGAGCAATAACTGAGCAGTACTAAAAAGAACTAGACGAGACATGACATAAAATGGACAGGGGAACGAGAACAGTTTACCCCCGTAGATTAAATAAAGGGTTCAGTTCGGAATTCTCTGTAAGTTACCCATATCTATATACACCTGTTGAAGGTCGGAGAGTACAACGATTGAAACGTTGTTCTAACAGCAACAAAGATGAGGATGATAGTCGGCATATAAATAGTGTAAATAATGATAATTCTTCATCCCAGACAATGAAACAGGAAGTTCATTTCCGTAAGAATAATACATAATCTTTGTTCGAATTGCAATATAATCCATCACCTCGGTTTTAATTAACAGCATAATTACAACCACATCAGTCACACTCACCACAATTCATTCTAGCGCCGTAACCATGGGCATCAGGATTACAGGTTGCCACCTTTATTCGAACTGCATCTCTCCAATGACATTATTCCTCTCCATGATTATTGGCACATACGTTTTTAGTATCTGCAGCGCCATCACAACTGGTATTCATATAAACACCCTGTTCAACGCAATGATTGTGTTTATGCAAATACATACGAGATCTTCGCTAAATTTGGTCGGATGTCCACCAATAAATGGCAACATCAGAATACAGTTGTCTAATTAGTAGCCCATACAGAAAACGCCTCTGATGTTTCAAACTGCTTTCATTACCAGGACAACGAAACGCTTTCCAACGCCTTTTTCTTTCTCTCCCAATATCTTTTGATGACGTAAGCAAGATGGAGAACGTTGATCATGTAATATTCTGTCAAGAGCTTTAGATTTAAACCAAGTATTTTTCTTTTTTTTTTCTTTTTAAAAATGACATATCTATTACTATTTTCTCTTTTTTGCATTCTCTTTTCCTTAAATTATTTTTTGATAAAAAAATTAAAGTTCAGATTTGAAGTGTCATATGTCGCATTCTATTAGGGTAAACAGATAAAGTGGAACAGATCAGATTTCACTAAAGTTACTACTTGAAAAATCACTTGTATTGCTCGACACAATGTCTTTGTTCATCACACAGACAATAAAGTCGGATAGGAAAGTAAAACATTCACGTTGAAATCACTTATGATGTTTTATTCTCATACTGTTTTATATATTCATACACTTTCATTTCTTTTGGTTTTTAATAACGGAATTTTCCATCTCCTATCACACCGTCTGGAAATAGCAAGTTGGAAAACTGGCGAATTGTGGTCGAATTCCAATTAACCCTTCTTGAATCATATTAGATCTAAAAAGGGCATAAAGCTAATTAATTTTTATTTTGAGTCGTTTTATATTAAATTTCCTTCAATGCAAGGCTCTATAACACTTCAAGGTAGAGCATTACATTTAAATTGGTTATGATGAATGAAGTGTGATATGAGTAAAAGATAAAGGTTAATGATGTGGAGATTATGAGGATAAGTAGGATAGATAATGGCTGTAGTGTTCTTGGAAACATCTACATTGGGGTCTTTTTCATAAAGTAACAGTTGTTGGGAAAAAAAAATCTTTATCTTTTCATTTAGAAAATGGAAGAAAAGACAGTGATTCGGCCCCTGAAAAGTAATATGGCGTTTCTTCGCTCTAAACTCTTAAGGAGAAGCCAAATTACTTCTGCGGAGTTGAATCAATCTCATTTTCTCGCCTATGAATCTATCAGAAGCATACCACAAAATAGTGAGTGAGGGAATACATGAACAAGGTGTCTGCTTGTTCAGTCTTCAAGTCAAGAATTCTTTCTTGACTCTGGTAATACCTAAGCCAGTACTGTTTGGCATATGACTCTTTGAGAAGGCTTGGGTTTTTTCTAAAATGGCAAAAAGATTACTCCCTCTCCTTCGTCGAATCAAATTATCTAACGACGATTAATTGATTTTTTACGCTTTATCAAACATTTGCAGGTTATTTAAAGCCAGACATTATTTTTACATTTTAAGATTTTTTGATGATGATAATAATTTAGCTTACAGGTCTTGCTAATTAACACATAGCTGGGGGAGAAGAAGCGGATTCACATATTTCCCAAGAGTATTTACATATAAATGAATATAACAAACCCAATGGGAATTGAAACTCCCAGCCATTATCCAGTACACCACCCGCACATCTACGCTTACAGCATCTTGTTATTCCCAAATAGTCACCTATCTAGGTACTGATAAGGCTCGATCTTGCTTAACTTCGATGAACGTACGGGAACCGATGTTTCAACGCGATGTAACCGTTATCCCAAACGACATGATACAGATGCCCAGAAGCGCATAAATATAGCGAAAAGAAGTTAAGGGGTTTCTTCTTTGTCTATGTTCCTTGTCTCTTCGGGACGTGGGGGATTATGGCTCTCCATAACTTCTTATCGTTTGTAGATCTTGGCAAGTTTTGTATTTTTAATACCACTCCCAATGCCTGTTCGGTCATCCGTTTAACAAGCTCATTAGTTAGGTAAGCTTCTCGCTAATTACTTTAGGCTTTCTTGCCTCCAGTATTCCCTCCCCACCACAACTGTAAATGTCAGATTCTCCAGATTCACTCATTATGCGTCTTAGAATCAAGATAAAGGCGCCCTTTTTGTTTTCCTTTTCTTTAAAACTTTCTCGGTTCTCACATGTATAAACCACGGGATTCTCAGTATCCTTCTGTAGAACAATATTTCTGTTAACTCAAATCTATTCTTTATATGTGAGAAGAGTGTCCAATATTCAATGTCATAGAGGAGGACTAATATTACATATCAGTTTAGTGCCCTTTTATTCTAATGAATATTTTCTGTTTCCTAAGATATTGCCTAACTTTTGAAATGCCTCTTCGGATTTCGGTGACATTCGTTCCGTCCTCTGTTAGAACACTTCCCATATATTTAAATTTTCGTACTTGATTGATTTCGACATCTTCAATTCATTGGTTAGTTCCTTTTGCTGACAACCATATATTCACTTGTTGCTTAATTTTCTCATTTTCCTTCTCTCTTGTGGAGTTCCTAGAGTTTTCTTTATGTTTGCCATCTATAATATGCCATCATCATATCTTATGTCTTTAAGACTGAATAAAAAAAATTCCCGTTAGGACTCCTAAGTGATCGAATGATGTCATTAGAACATTAGACAAAACTGGTGGATGGCTATATAGTATTTAACCTCTGGTATAATATCTCATCTCTTATATGACAGTGAATGGTTGACAGTTCTCTCACAAATGAATGAAATACTTGAGGCGATTGTAGTGTATGTTTATCTACAATTATTAAGAATATTATAAACAGAGGAAATTTTAAATGTAGACGTTTTAAGGGGAGTAGGAACTAAACATATTGCTTTTAATAATTCGAAAGTTAAAATAACAAAGGAAAGAAATATTGGAGAAATGAACAGAATTTAACGCGGGAGAATCAGTTGATAACATACGTCAAAATTTTAACCAAATAGGCGGATGAGCAAATACAACAAAGAAAAAAAAAAGAGGTTTTATAAAGGAATAATTATTAGTGAAATCAACAAAAGAAATACAGCTATAGCGAACCATGATTACCCACGTCTTGAAGCGATTTAGAAAAAAGAGTTACATGGTTTCCCTTGATCACTTCGAAGTTTAGAAATATATAATGTGACGATATTAGAGGTTTCTCACTATGCAAATATTTATGTCAACAGACATTCATGTACACATTTTATAAAATAAAGTTTCTTTTTTCATTCTTTATTTATTTATAACTCTGAATATTTTCTTAAATATCTAATCAGTTACGAAAAGAACTTATTAAAAACTCGGGGTTCTCAATGCCTAGTGAAGTATTTATAAATCAACAAAAATAAAAAAAAAATATATATAGATAATTCAAAAGCATTGTCTTAATATATTTCTTATTTTTAACATTATATTGTTTCTACAATCAGATATTATCATGCATTACTACATCTTCAATGCCTTATGTAGTTGAGACCAGCTCAAAATAATGAGCAAAATATTGCTTTCTTTTTACTCTGACAATAAATCGTATTCCTATTCCAGAGAATCTGTAAATATTGGTGAAGGCAGCGAAAACAATGATTCTCCAAGAGTGACTGACTAGGGATTTCGAAGATGTGAATCATAAAAGAATATCCAAGCTAAAATTAGTAATTTCAATTCATAGAAACATTTTCATTCATATTTTTAAAATTATTCTTTTTTCCATCTTATGGATGATTTTTATCACTACATTCTGGAGTGAAAAACCGTCCGACCGTAATTTCAACAGATGCCGAATTCTTGCAGTTAAGGCAGAAGTTATTCAAGCAAAAAGCAACAATAGGATTCACAGAAATGATTTAATAAAAAATAAAAGAAATAAATAGTACATCTAAAGTGAAAATTTAAAAAAAATGCTTACGATTTCAATAAACTTGAGTAAAAACGAGTCTGAAATGCTTATAAAGAAATAATTAATAAAATAGATTATTTAAAAAAACATTAACCCTGATGCAACTCCATGAGGTTAAAAAAATTCTTTTTTTCAAAACAAGTCTCATAATAAAAACGAACTTGTGGCAGTTTCCTTCCAAAAAAATGTTCATACTATTTTAGAACGAATCACAAGCAGGTCAAAAAGTTTAAAATTAAAATCTTATTTATATTTTATACAAACGTTTACATATAATGAGACATTGTTATATAATAATAATAATATAATATATTTATATAGAAACAGTAATTATTAAGTTTGACAACAAGTCATATATTCCAAGATCCATAATTGTTTGCCTAATATCGCAGACTGCAGGATAAAGTATATGTGTCTATATCACTGAGATGAGATATTATGATTTATATTATTTACATTATTCGGACTGTTATCCTCATCTTCATTATCTTATTCACAACGTTTAGGCCGTTGTACGCTCTGGCCTTCTTCAGGTGATTTGAATTTCGAACCGAAACCTTTATTTTTTTTCGTTCACCTGGGTAGATTTTTCTAGTTCCACGTACTAGGCCTCTTCCGGATGTCTCTGTTATTTCCCTTTAATTCGACTCTTCAAGTTTTTTGGTTCACCACTGCTGTAGCCTGGTATTGAACTCACAAATCTTTGGGTTTAGTCACTGGATATACCCAACGCCTTTAACCACTGGGCCATAAATGAGACATCCGGAAGAGGCATGGCACGTCGAACTAGAACAAGCTACTCTGATGGATGAAATAAACGGTTCGGTTCTAAAGGCCAATCGCCTGAAGAAGGCCGGAGCGTACAACGGTCAAAACGTTGTGAATATGAAGATGAGGATAACAATCCGAATAATGTAAGTAATGTAAGTAATAGTTTATTAATTAGAATCAATGAGAAATTTGCGAAAATTATATATATATATTTTTTTTTTTTTTAAATTATAAACCAATTATAAGAATATAGCGTAAAATAAAACATAAATTCATTGTAACTTTAGATGATTTTTAATTTTCTTGCTTGCTTTCTTCTTTCCATCCCCATTGCTAAAGATCGGGGTCCCATGGACAATTCTATCAAAGCTATCCAACGTCTCCCCTCCCTCACCACACACGCGGTTCACTTTCTTAAATCTCCTTTTTTTTATTAACAACTTGAAATCTTTGAAATTGTCACTTAAACAAAACACATTACAGCCTGACTTTGGCATATCCGAATTGCCAACACCACATCTCTAGTGCTTTGGGGCCATTAAGGAAACTCATGAACTGTTTATTTCTGTTGTTATCTACAGCTCACAGAAACAGTAAGACACGGATAATGGAGGCTTTCATACTGACGGCTAATAGCAACTCTGATATATGGACACACATTAGTTTGTGCGGAACGTACATCAACAACTGCTAGGTTTTCTAATGTCTTTTTTGTTCAGCTATATTAATGGAACCTCAAGTTAAGAATATATTTACATTGAGTGGTTCGAGGAACAACCTGATAACTGCTGCATGACTGCAAATAACTAAAATCTTATTAGAGTTGCAACAAACATCCACCCTTTAGCTCTGTCAAATTGTTGATATCGACTTTTAAACGAGAAATTCTGACTAACAAAATCAGTTCCAGAACAAGTTAACAGAACGTCTGTATTACATCATCTAATATTTTACTTTAAATTTAAAACTTAACTACCGGAGACAAAAGAAAAAAATGTAAATTAAAATTGAAAATTGTTCTAAAGTCAATATTTAGATCTTTAAACTAACTTTAATTATCCCCGTTTTATTCTAAATTTCTCCTGCTACTAGGCTTGAGAGGCACTCAAGTTAGAATGAAGTGTGTAATACTTTACTTTCTACCAGCTACACCTAACATTCAAACTGCTATCTTAATCTTTCTCCTTATCACAACACTTAAGCCATTGTTCATTTCAGCCTCCATAAAGGATGAGTCGATCTGGGTAACTCTTTGTTGAATTTTGAACTGAACGTTTTATTTAATCTACAGAAGTACAGGGTGGTCCGAAAGTCTTGTCATCCTCTACCAAAAAGTAATGCGAAAAAATGACGTCCTGTCGTACATCCTCTATATTCTTGCCAGAATGCAATATGCAAATGTGTCCATATATTTGCAAGCAGCCTTTCTTCCAAATTGTAGGAGCTCGTGCCAGCCATCTGAAATAGAAAATTATATTATGTAGGGGTGGCAAGACTTTCAAACCACCCTGTACATTTTTTCCCGGTTCAGCTGGCGAGGGAATCTCTTGTCTCTTTTTACTTACTGCTCAGTTATTACTTGTCTTGTTGCCACAGAGCCTGAGCTAGCCAGCCTAGGAATTGAACTAAAAAAATATTATCTTACCAATTTCACGAACCAACTCTCTAATACAGTAGATTATTGTCTCACGGGACGATAATCAACTGGATTAAAGTGTTACTCGGATTGACAAACCCTCTTGAAAACTGGAGGGTACAACGGCTGAATTGTTGTGAAAACAAAGATTTGGATAATTATGCCTATGGAAATAATAACACTTAAAAAAATGACTATTTAGTCATTTGTCTATATTTCTGAGGTTATGTTTTGTAACTATTTACTATATTTGGACACTTGTCCTCGTCCTTATTGCCATATTCAAGACATTTCGAACGTTGTATATCAACTGAAGAAGGTCGGAACGTACAACGACGGAAACGTCATGAATATAGCAATAAAGATGAGGACAACAGTCCTAGCGATGTAAATAGAGTAATTGGTTATTTATGTTAGAAAGTTTTAACAAGTATGGACTTCACAGGCGTTACGCTAAGT